ACGATGACAATTCCCTGACATGGCTTCAGAAACAACAACTGAAATTAAAGGCAAGAAGAGAAGGTCGTGGATGGGACGACACCCAGCTACAGTTAATTGACGAATTTCAGAATACACATCCAAAGAAAGGTCTCTCATCGAATCCTGAGTTTTTGGATGAAGGAATCTTGACAACTGATTTATCATCATCATCAAGAGAAAATTCACCAGCAAAGGTATTTTTTTTCTAACACCTAAATATAGCACCTTTGCTTCATAAATGTGGAAAAAATATTTGACAGAAAAGTAAATATTTGCATTATAAACTTTTTGTGTATAATAATTGATTCTTTGTATCATGATTATCCTTGAACTAAAGAGGTATTATATGTATTTAAATGCAGAATTTTAGCTATACTATGCCACTCCATGTCCACGGCATCAATGGACACACCACAAGCCCATCACCATCATCGGGTTTATACACCACAGCTAAACCACCCATTGGCAGAGGAACAAGTGCTCCGTCTTCACCAATCATCCCCTCTCGTAGCAGTAGCCGTGATGTTACACGCAGCAGGTAATACTTTGTAACAGCTTATTATAATTTCACAATGTCTTTCTATAAAATATTCTATAATTACTAGATATATTTGTTTTAATTAATTTGAATCTGTTTTGGTGTTATTTTAAACGTGCAAGTCTAAGGCTTAGTTAGGAATACATATTTGCTACTTGTCAACTGGAATACAAAATGAAGAACAAATGTAATTAATGTATATAAAACTAAATACATGATACTTGTACCTGCATAGGCTGAAAATAATAAGGAAGGTAAAAGTTTTTCAATTATCGAAGAAGCATACTTGAACTTTTGGAAGTAGTTGTTATATATTTGTTAAAAAAATCTGAGATTAGTGTTGAGAGAGGGAGAGGTTTATTTGTATTATTCAAATGTGCGTGTATTGTTTATTTAAAGCTTATAAATTATTGACTTGTTTATAGGTCTTTAAAGTTTTCTGGTATTGGAACTCAAGCAAAACATTACAAGTTAATAATATTAGTGTCCTAATAAATTTAAATCGATTTTTGCCATATTATTAAATAATATCTGCTTTACCAAAAGCCTGTATCTTTAAGAAGATATACTTGGATCAACTGATTCACTGTTTTCACTTAAAAAAGTAATAAAATTTATGCTTTTTACTAAGCCTTTCCTCAGAATAGAAACAAACAGGAAATACAATTATTTTTAACCTATCAGAATGAAAGTAACCGTAAAAGATTATTCCAAATGTATTCTACAATTGATCTTAGATATCAACAGTGGCAGAATAACAACCGACCCTTGGTAAGGCAGCGTTCTGACACATCTTATGACAGAGAGAAACCTGTAGTTTCTATGAAAGTCATTCACCAGCAAGAACAGGACCCAACAGCTGTAAATGATACTACACCACAGCAAGTTGTTACTACTAGTACTATAACAACATACGGAATAATTTATCCTTACAGTGAACAGCAGTTGCATCTTCCTCATCAAAACTTCCAGCCAGATAACTCGCATGCACTTCCTGCAGCAAAAACAGCCCCATCTAGTGACAAGCAGATTTATAGCAATGAGCCCAAAACATCAAGTGACGAAGTTGTTGATCCTGTTGATCTACTGGCTCTTTTGAGCGACATTCCTGGTGCTGAAGCAGCCCAGAAGCCCCATTCACCTGAGCCAACACCTGGTAAGTTCTAAGGAAAAATACTTCATTCAGTTTGTGAAAGGAAACTTCATAAAATTTACTTGTTTGTAAATATTCATCACTATATGTGGTTCAAATAGGTGCTTAGAAACATGTAAAGTCCTGGATAATGCATAATTATAAACCTGGGTTGTACTTATTCCAACCCACCCCTTCAAAACCTGATGATATATGTTTTTTCCATCACAATCTGAATCATGAGAGGAAAGTAAAGCTTATGTAAGATTTTCTGACACATGTTCAGCAAGTCACATTAAACGTGTCAGGGGGAGAACTATGGGGAAGTTGATGCATGCTCTGTATTGCATCAAGGACATTCATACTTTTGAGTCACATGATTGTTTACAGCATGGAAGCAACTCAACAAGAAAAGGCATTCAGTATTTAAGAGATAAATACCTGTTTTAAATTCATCTTAATTATAAAATATTTAAAAGTCTTCACCTGAAAATTATTTAGAAAATCGAAATTGATTAGCTGCTTCTTTATAGTTTCCAATATGGTACATTACCTCCACTCACAGATATAGTTATTCTCATTCAGCACTGTCCTCTATATGCAAAAATATTTTTTGCATGTCACAAGCCTTGAGCTCCCATGTATTCCATGATTAACATGGTTCAATTGTGTCTCGCATGTAAATCATCATGTGACAACCCTCCACCAATAGGAGTGCAACACACCCTTCTGACACATGTGACTCCCTCTATTTGATTCTACCGAACTTCCACTTCTCGTTTGACAGTGCTTGTGTCAAGACATTTTTTTTATTGTTCTCTTCAATCGTGTTTGTTTTTTTTTAACTTGGTGAAGTTTTTGAATTTTTTTTTTCAATGTTGATGCAACTGTTTTCAAATAGTTGACTAACAAAGGGTGTTTTGTTCTCCTGAAGAAGAATAGTC